AAAACGAATGCATTTGTTTTAGCAATGGAAAACGAGTGTCCTGAGTGTGGGTGTGATACAAAAACCAACCTCTACCGCCACCTCTTCTACGCTCACTCTTATTCCCAAGCAGATATAGAAGCGCTGAGGAAGCAGAAGCGCACGGAGGCTGCAATCACTTAGTAAGGAGGCCTACGAGTGTGACGTGTGTGGGCTAGTTTATCAATCGCAGAATGATGTTTGAATACTGTTTGCAGATGGCAAGAGGACTTGGAGTGGGCCGTTTCCGATTGGCGCAACACCACCGTGCGCATGCTTTAGCAGTCAAACTTTTTACCAGTCCGGACACCGTACAGATCTTGGAGAAGGGGTTGTGGGATTGTAACAGACCGGAGAGGACCTCACTATGTGGAACAGCAGTTCTGTATATGTAATCCCAAGGTAACACTGAGCCAGCTTTCGCTTCAATTTGTAAGCCGATGGTATCGCTTGCAGGTTAACAACCACTGCAAAAAGTGCGGAGCCTGCCCATACGCCTTTCTGTGCGATTGTGCGCAAGATGCTAAGGCAGGAATTTCCTGTGCCCACATCCATGCCGCACTAATTCATGCTGCAGAGGGTAAGGTCTCTTCTTTTGCTACAGGATGCAGTCAGGATGCAGTATTTATAAGAGGGCTTTTGCAGGTTTGTTGCCTGTTGAACCACAGCCGACATGGGCAGTAGTAGGTAATTTACCGGCAAAGACAATGGAAAGCAATGAAGATGGGACAATATACGTGGACGAATCGGACGGGATCCAGGAGAGATTGTATCATGACCGCGTCACAGAACGAACCGTCACTGACGTCCTAGACACCAACAAGGAGCTCTTGCAAGAGTTTGAATCAGTCAGTCAACTTAGAAACCATACGTCACAGACAAACACTTTGACATGAGTTGTTTCAGGTTAGTGCTGCATTGCGGTCAAAAGCGATTTCCTTGTCAAAGGTAGCGAATGAGAGAGTGCAGGACAGTATGAAAACCCTTATCGAAATGATGAGGAAAATGGACGTTGAATTGGCGACCGAACTGAATCTTCATCGCTCTACGCATTCCAATGGCCCACACTTGGCTAGGCGTATTGACCTGCCATTGACAGGTCGTCCCCCAAACCACACGCCAATTCGTCTCGCTAAGGTATGTTGGTTTTATCATTCAATGAAGCCACCACTTGTAATTTTCCTGACACTGCCTGTTTAGAGAGCGTCACTGAAACCGAAACGTACCCAGCAGGAACACGAGAGCGTAGAAGAGATGAGTCCGGACGAGATTCAGTGCTGCATTGTTTGTTTTAGAAGAATACCCGATGATGGCTCAGATAGAGCTGAGGATGAGTGGCTCAAGTGCTCCTCGTGTGGCTTTTGGGCACATGACAGTTGTTCAGGCGAAGGGGCACCGTGCCCTTATGACGAAGGAACTTTTAATTATGCTACACTAGAGTGAACCAGGGATCCGTAGATTTTTTTGGCAATACTCGCTTTGTCTTCTGATTTTAATTGTTATTCTGATTGTTATTTCGATTACTGATTTCCGTTGTGTAACATTTCTCACTTATTTTCCCTTATACCTTGTCAATTTTCTCTCATCTCATCATTTAGAGGGTCCATTCCAATAAGGGGGCATTGTAGTGCAATAATTCTGTTGAGGAAAAACATCTTGCAGACAAAGAAATCGAAAAACAAATGAGGCAGGGCTCCGGGGTACGTGAACCAGTCTGTTTCAGTGTGCCAAATGCCCTCCCTTATTGGAAAAGACTCTAACTGTACTTATTTCACTGTATAATACATGAACTATTATTAGGAATGTAAGCGGCAATCGTTCTACTTCTACAATGCACAACATAGCATAATGTGTGAATAATATTTCGTTATATGCGTTATAATAACAATAATAATAATAATGGTAATAATAATAAATCAATGATAATAAACAAATTATAGTAATAAATTTGCAAAACAATACCTGTACAACAATCTAATACTCTTGGAGAATGTGCACCAGCAACAAAGACACCTCACTTACGCAGGGCCGCTTAGAAGCAGTTCATCAAAAAAGCGTGACTTGCTGCAAAACATACCACCCTGCTACAACGACCACCTCACCTACGATATTACCCAAATGCGTTGGATAATGATGGGAAGGCATTTTGGTTCAAGGTCGTCCACTATGGTGTGTGGTCCGTAGTCTCACACTGCACCACATAGCGATTATTTCACGCCTAAGGTTACGGTGATGGATTGGATCCGTGTTGAACTTTCGTTCTTGTCTATGCCTAATATCCTAATCTTCTATCCTCTAGCCCTCTCAAACGCCATTAAGCACAACCATGTCGTCAGGCAGCTACCTCGCGATCTCAGCGACCCTAAGATTGCACGATAGCGCAATCACGCAATTGTTGTTGTTACTATCTAGCAATAATATC